AATTAGTAACATGTCGGGTTAAATTCGGGTTTTGACAAATTAAAACGGGTTTAGGTCAATTTCGGTTCAAGTCGGGTACAATGCAAGTTAATCAAATTGGTCGTTGTAAACTGGTAAATCGATGCAAGTTGTAAACCGTGGCCGTTTTAAAAGCAAATTGAATGGTTCCACACACCCAATTGGACTCCCAGAGGGGTATTAGGGACCATGGTAAACATTTCGGCAATTTTTATTTCCGGGCGAAAGAAAGTAAAAAAATTCCGAATTTAAAGGCTAATATCCACGCTTTTCGAGAAATTTTGGAGGTTTCAAGGCACGGTGTCGAAAAGTTTTGAAATTCTATGGGATACATCTAGGGGTCATATAATGCCATTTGGAACCATATATGATCATTATTTGTTTTCATAAATATTCGTGGTACGCTTGAGTTAATGAAATCGGTGCAAGTTGTAAACCGGCAATTTGCCCGTTTAATGGCAAATTGGATGGTTCTATCCACCCAATTGGACTACCGGAGGGTGTCAGAGACCATGGAAAAATTTCGGTAATTTTTTATTTTCAAGCGAAAAAAGTCATAACATTCCGAAATTGAAGGCTAATATTCACGCTATTTGAGAAATTTTTGAGGTTTCGGGGCCCGTTGTCGAAAAGTTTTCAGATTTTAGGGGATACATCTAGGGGTCATATAATACTATTTTAAACCATAAATGATCATTATATGTTTTCATAAATGTTCGTGGTAGGCTTGAGTTAATGAAATAGGTGTAAGTTGTAAACCGGTAAATTCGCCATTTAATGGCAAATTGGATGGTTCCACCCACCTTATTGGACTCCCAAAGGGTATTAGGGAACATGGTAAACATTTCAACAATTTTTATTTATAGGCGAAAAAAAGTCAAAAAAAACCCAAAATTCAAGGCTTATATCCACGCTTTTTGATAAATTTTAGAGGTTTCGAGTCCAAGTGTCGAAAATCCTTGAGATTTTAGGGGATACATCTCGGGGTCATATAATGCTGTTTGGAATCATATATGACCATTATACTTTGTCATAAATGTTCATGGTAGAGTTGAGATAATGAAATTGGTGCAAGTTGTAAAACGGTAAATTTGTCATTTAAAGGCAAATTGGATGGTTCTACCCAACCAATTGGACTCCCTGAGGGTGTTAGGGACCATGGTAAACATTTTAACAATTTTTATTTTCCGGTGAAAAAAGTCCAAAAAAAATTCCAAATTGAAGGCTAATATCCACGTTTTTTGAGAAATTTTGAAGGTTTCGGGGCACGGTGTCGAAAAGGATTTAGATTTTAGGGGATAAATTTCAGGGTCATATAATGCCGTTTGGAACCATATATGATCATTATATGTGTCATAAATGTTCGTGGTAAGCTTTAGTTGATGAAATCGGTGCAAGATTTAAACCGGTTAATTGGTCGTTTAAAGCAAATTGGATGGTTCCACCTATCCAATTGGACTCCGGGAGGGTATTAGGGACCATGGTAAATACTTCGGCAATTTTTATTTACGGGCGAAAAAAAAGACGAAAATTCCAAAATTGAAAACTAATATCCACGGTTTTTGAGAAATTTTGGAGGTTTTGGAGCCCGGTGTCGAAAGCCTTGATATTTTAGGGGATTCATCTTGGGGTTATATAATGCCTTTTAGAGCATATAGGATCATTGTATGTTGTCATAAATGTTCGTGGTGGGCTTGAGTTAATAAAATCGATTAAGGTGCAAACCGGTAAATTGGCCTATTAAAGGCATATTGGATATTTCTACCCTCTCAATTGGACTCCCAAAGGGTTTTAGGGACCTTGGTAAATATTTCGGCAATTTTTATTTCCATGTGAAAAAAGCCAAAAAAAAACTCCAAAATTAAAGACTTATCCACGCATTTTGCGAAATTTTGAAGGTTTCGGGGCTCGGTGTCGAAAAGTCTTAAAATTGTAGAGAATAAATCTCGGGGGTCATATAATGCCGTTTGGAACCATATGTGATCATTATTTGTTGTCATAAATGTTCGTGGTAGGCTTGAATTAATAAATTCGGTGCAAGATGTAAATCGATAAATTGGCCGTTTAAAGGCAAATTGGATGGTTCCAACTACCCAATTGAACTCCCTGAGTGTATTAAGGAACATTGTAAACATTTCGGTATCTTTTATTTCCGGACAAAAAAAAGTCAAAAGTCAAAAATTGAAGGCTAATATCCACACTTTTTGCGAAATTTTGAAGTCTTCGGGGCCCAGTTTCTAAAAGTCTTTAAATTCTAGGGTATACATCTCGTGGTCATATAATGTCGTGTGGACCCATATATGATCATTATTTGTTGTCATAAATTTTCGTAGTAGGCTTGAGTTAATGAAATCGGTGCAAGTTGTAAACCGGTAAATTGACTGTTTAAAGGCAAATGAGATTGTACCACCCACCCAATTGGACTCCCGAAGGATGTTAGAGACCATGGTAAACATTTCAGCAATTTTTATATATGGGTGAAAAAAAAGTAAAAAAAAATCCCAAAATTGAAGGCTAATATCCATGCTTTTTAGAAATTTTGGAGGTTTCGGGGGCCGAAGTCGAAAAGCCTGTAGATTATAGGGGATACATCTCGGGGTCATATAATGTCGTTTAGAACCACATATGTCATTATATGTTGTCATAAATGTTCGTGGTAGGCTTGAGTTTATGAAATCGGTGGAATTTGTAAACCGATAAATTGGTCGTTTAAAGGCAAATTGGATGGTTCCAACCAACCAATTAGACCCCCGGAGGGTATTAGGGACCATGGTAAACATTTCGGCAATTTTTATTTCCGGGTGAAAAAAAGTCAAAAAATTCTAAAATTGAAGGCTAATATCCTCGCTTTTTGAGAAATTTTAGAGGTTTCAGGTAGAGTTGTCAATTCAGATAAACGAGTCGGGTTTGGATCGGTAAGAGTGGGTCGGGTCAACTCGGGTTGGGTAAATTCGGATTAATTCCATAACCTTTGCGGTTTGGGTTTGGTCTTGCTTGAGTCGGGTCACGTCGGGTCATACTTGTTTTCGGGTTTGGGTCAGGTTTAGGTCGGTTGGGTGAACAATAGGTCGGATTAAATTCGGGTTAAAACGGGTTAGGGTAATTCTCAGGTTCGAGTCTGGTTCGGTTCAAGTCAATAATTTTTAGGTTAGAATCAGGTCGGGTCATTCTCAGGTTTGAGTCGGGTTCGGTTCAAGTCAATAATTTGCGGGTTATTATCAAGTCGGGTCATTCTCGTGTTTGAGTCGGGTTCGGTTCAAGTCAATAATTTGCGGGTTATAATTAGGTCGGGTCATTTCACGTCTCCAAGTCGGGTTTGGTTCAAGTTAATAATTTGCGGGTTATAATTAGGTTAGGTCATTTCCAAGTCTGGTCATTCTCGGATTTAAGTCGGGTTATGTTCAAGTCAATAATTTGCAGGTTACAATTAGATCGGGTCATTTTTCCAAGTCATCAGGTCATATTCGGATTCAACTAACTATAAATAGATAATTATCAATATTTATCAAGCTAATTATTTCCTTTGACTATATTATATATGACAATATACTAGGGAACTATAGTCTATAATTTAGGAAGATAATTATCTTCTTTGACCATACAACAAATATATACTATATTTAACTCTTAAATTTGACGATGATACTCCTTTCTTTTGCTGGCCTGGACCGACTTGGTCTTCATAGACAAAATGCTTTGATCAACAATAATAAGGTGGTCTAAATTGCATTTAAGGTAATTTGAAATCGGGTCAGGAACAATTTGGGTTGAATTTAGGTCAGGTCAATAACAAGTCGTGTTTATTTTGAGTCAAGTTAGTAACAGATCGGGTTGAATTTTTGGGTCGGGTTAGTAATAGGTCTGGTACAATTCGGGTCGGATCAATAACAAGTCGGGTTGAATTTGGGTCAGGTCAATAACAAGTCGACTTGATTTCGATTCGGGTTTGTCACAGGTTGGGTTAAATTCGAGTCGGGTTAGGAACGGGTTGGGTTGAATTCAGGTCAGGTTAGTAAGGGTTAAATTTGGATTTTGACGGGTTAAAACGGGTTTGGGTCAATTTCGGTTCAAATCGGGTTCGGTTCAGGTCAATAATTTACGGGTTACATTCGAGTCAGGTCATCTTCAGGTCAGTTCATGTTCGGGTCTCACATACTTGAGCCAACTCGGGTCTAGGGTTGGTTTCAGGTCTGGTTTGGGTCACCATTTTTTCGGATTTAAATGGGTGTTAATAATCGAGTTTGAGTCAGTATTTCGGATCTGGTCAAATTTTGATAGCTCTAGTCTTAACTCTTAAGTCATCCATTGTGGCCTTGTGGGTGCTCCAATCACGTAGTTACAATACTATAATTGTTGATCCACTTTGTTAGCAACTTAGCATATGCTAATTGCCAGCATTTTCCAATCAATGAAAAGCTACTCGTATAAAATGTATAGCTCCGTAATTCATTGCGAATTGATTGCAAGCACCATGTCCTAATCAATCATGCATCACCACCGCTAACATGAAGACATCTTAATTTTTATCTTTTACTAACTGTTTTTTTTTCCTTTTCTAGAGAGTTGTATTTGTGCCTTTGTGGGGCACCAATTTTTCAAAAAATTCAATTTCAAGCTCCCATCTTTACAAATTTCATAAAACAACATCTGCATTTGCAATACAAGTAGAAGAATTTGTACGGTAAAGTAACATTGCCCCCAAAAAAATTAAAAAATTGGCAAATTGAAAATTTATCCAATAACTTTAAACGGTCCTACAGTTTAACCCTTAATTAATGCCAAATGATGTTATAAGTTATAACAATCTCAATTCTCCATGCATGGTAACTTTTTCATGTGTTAAAATAAACTTTTGTTAAAGAAGAGAGGTCTAACAAGGTCCAACTAACAATAATCACCTAAATATTTAATACTACCCTCGTTACAGGTTATGTGCAACGCATTGAGGTAGTAACTAAAATAAAAATGGGGGTAATGGAGAATGAACACAACTAAATGCAGAAATGTGACATTATTGAACAATTCCATTCACCAATTACAATTCCAATCACACACTAGTACACTACCATCCATCAACACATCATAAAATTGTGAATATCCCAACCAAAATAAATTTACAAAAAATAAAATGAAATTACGAGGAATGAATAATAATAAGACAAGAAAAAAGTCAATACAACATAGCGTTGACTAAAGATGAAGGATGATCAAATACCGGTCCGACCGGCAAGCAAACCGCCAGCAGCAGCTTGTTCTTCATCCAAGAACAAATCATCAGACCGTCGAAAAACCGAGTAAATTACAACCACCCCAACACCAACACCCAAAGCAATCAATATATTCCCAGTAGCACCCGTCAACAGCAAAAACCCGACGGTCAAAACCGACAGAACCGCCAGAATAATCCGATCGTCAATCGACCGACCGAAGACAACAAGCGGTTCATCCCTGAGAAAGTAGAGGAAAAGCCAAGCAACCATCATAACGAGGAAGACGATGAGAGAGATGGGGTGCCAGAGGAGAGAGACGAAGAGGATGAGGAGGACGATCATGGCGAAGTTCATACGGAAGTAAGAGAAGTTGGTTTTGAGGCGAGAGAAGGCGTCGGAGAAGTGGTGGGGGAAGGAGAGACAGTGGTGGTCGAAGAATTGACGCCATGGACGGCGGGAGGAGAAGGTGCCGTAGAGGCGGTGTTTGGCGCGGGAGATGAAGTCGAGGTTGGCGGAGAGAGGGGTGGTGGAGGGTGGTGGAGAGGAGGAGGAGGTTGTGATGGGTTTGTAAGGGGAGGAAGAAGACATGGTTGGGAATGGAGAGTAGGTTTGAGGAGAGAGAATTGGGGTGTAAGGGAAGGTGAGGATTTTTGTGATTGGGGATTTGAAAATTAAGGAGTTTTGGCAATTGAACATTCTATTTGTTGTTTCTATTGGTAGAGATTTTTGAGGAGGGCCAGGAGGGAGGAGATAAAGGAATGTGTAAAAAATTTCTTGGTTCGGGTTCTGGTCGGGTTTGTTAGATTATACACTATCGAGCATGATTGATTTTTATCGTTATTGGGTAGGAGGTAAATTGCGATATTTGAGGAAAATGTGAATATTTAGGAGGAAAGGTTGCATCACTTTAGAGCTTTGCAAGTCGGTAATTGAACAAAAAGTGCTAAGTAGAACTTAATTTTGAAGCTTGAGTTTTCCTTTCATTACGTGAGAAATTACATCATAATATAAGTATTTTAACGCAATTAATTCTTATTAATTGATGTTAAATGTTTATTTCTTATATACATCATCATTTTTTTTAAGAGTATTTTATAATTGCGATATATAAGGGATTCAAATGTACCAGTATAACTAAGAACAAAGTTATAAGTACAAAACCAAATGAAATATTTTAGGCGCGTTCACTTCGGCTTATTGGACATGAATTATCTTAACTGCACTTATTAGACCTTATTGAATTTATTTAGGATGTGTTCTCTTCGCCTCATAAGTAATATTGCATGCAATGTTATTCTAAAATAGAAAATTGTAACATTGGTTATTAAAGATCGGATAACTATACTATATATGGAATTTCGGAATATGAGCTATATGAAAAGAAATAAAATATCCAAGGTTAAAATGTATATGGTCGAATACAAGTTATTAAGTTCATTACTTTAATTGAGATTAAGGTGATGAAGTAATGATATCGTTACACTTCCGATCAAATTCTTATTCTTGGTCTTGATCTAGGATTCAAATCTGACGGAACTTATTTGACAAATTACTTTTATCTTGACTCACTCAAGAAAATCCCATAACATAAATGAATGAAAACGAAAGCGGCATTTTGGTGGGAAAAGCAACTGGGCCGACATGAAATAGAAGCAATAAAAACGAAATATCTAATTCTTGGGGTTAAGTTGTTGGAAAATACAGCTCTCCGTGTATAAGGCGTTGGTGAGGTCAGGATATAAAGCTTGTTCAAGGCTCTCACATGCAATTGCCACGTGACTTGTTGGAATTTATACCTTTTTTTTTAAAAAGAAAAAAAAAAAAAAAGATTTGGACGTTAACAAGTCTTCATTTTGTTATGGAGTTGCATCATCCAAGGATCCATTATATTATATACCTGGATAATTTAAACAACTCTAATTTTCTTTGTATATAATTATATACCAAGGGACCACACTAACGTGTTGGCAACCCAAATATTTGGAAATTAAAGAAGATTTTCATTGTTAATTATAACTCTTCTTATGAACATCTATCTTAATTATTTTTTATTTTATTTTATTTTGTGATTTTGATTATTCTAAGTATTGAACAATTGATGATCTCAATTGTTTGACATGTTCATACGCTCGGGTGTAAGCTAAGAATAATTTATTTGACAATTCTCCAATTGATGTATTACGTATGTAAGATTACTCGAAAACTTTTTTCACGGTATATTTTAGGCATTATGAGAGGGTTACACCTATATGCACACAATACAACTGTTGTACTACTTCCGTTTCATGTTACTTGCAACGATTTGACAGAAATTTAACATAAAGTAGAGAAAAAAATGTCTAATTATTGGAGATATTCTAGGATATTATTGTTATTCTAGGATAATATTGTGATTTATTTAGGGTGCATATCTTGTGTGAAGATATGGTAGAATATGATGGATGAATGGATGAGAAATACAGTGAACATTTTGATGAATTGGGTTTAATTTAACACTAATCGTTGCAAATAATATAAAATAAAAATAGTATAACAATTTGCGAGAATCTTAGTAAGATATAAAATGTTCCCTCCTCAGGAAATTAAGTAGGTGGAAGGGTATACATATATATACTATGCAGACCTCATCACATAAAGTTGTAAAGGTTGGATGATAAAGGGAGCTTTAAAAAAAAGGCAGAGAGAATGGGCAATCAAAATAATTGCCCTGCCATTGGTGACCTTGTGGTGGATCCATGAGAGACCACACATTGTGTGAGGTCTTATTACAGACATATAAAATTTGTACAATTAAGTCATACAAACTACCAGTAACATAAAACATACACATAAAGTTCTTTTAGAGTTTGAAAAACCCTAATTTGAGGCCATCTTTGGCTGCTGGTGATTGTAAGTTGTTGCTATTAGGCCCATCAAATACAGCAGTTACATAATTTCAGATAAAATCACATTGTATGTCTTTCTGAATTAACTTTTTAGCGCTTCTTTTCCTCAGCCTAGGCCTCACTTTGGTGTTGTTTTCTTGGTGTCCTACTTTATCAATCTAATTAAAACTTTGTGTTGTTTACAATTGTATAAAGATTAGGAACGATAGAAAAACAATACGCACGATAGAAGATTTATCACAAACAAAGATGGCCTTTCAGGACTTGGCTTAGGTACACAAGCAATTTTTGTTTAAAATACCAAAATTTCTAATCGTATTATTTAGGTATGATATTCAGCAACTGAAAAACTAGAGTTACCATATAAAAAAAAAAGTTGACATAGCGCGTTTTAGACCAAATCAATCTTCAGTTAAGGATGAAAATATGCGAGATAGACCAGATAGTTTGCAGCTTCTCACCTTTCATTTTCCCAGTTTTTCACTGAACACCGATCGCCTACAAAAAGGATAATCCAAAGCCTAGGATTGAAAATGTAGCTTGTGGGTTTTCCTTTCTGAAAATGTTACTCATTCCAGTAAAACTGGACCGTCCAATTTGGTGATGTCATCACACATTTACAATTTTCCTCTCTTTCTGCCTTATCTAGCTGGTTTGAGTTGACTTGAAGCCTTGAACACCTTTGACAATTGCTGGGAATTTAAGGATGGAAACTGCATACAAAGTATATTACAAAAAAAAAGTTAACATGTTAACATCTTACTACCTTTGCAAAAAGAATAGAATATGAACCAAGGGCAGCTGACAAAGCCACATCCCAATATGCCGAATACATCCATCAAGTTATGACCTATTATACCGAAGACAGTTACATTAGGTCAATTTGACATCAACAAATATCAAATAACCTAATTCTGATAAAGAGGATAACCACATGTTATACACATGTCCGAAATTAGCAGATTTGGCACAATGGTACCAATACTATACAAGCCACGAAATCAATTGGAAAAAATAAAAAGGGTACTCTTATAAACTAAAGATTTGTCTAATTTTTTTAGTGGCAAACACACTGATAACTGATAGAAAAACTTGTAATTTTTCAGAATATGCGATGAAACGAATAAAAGGTGGTAATGCATGTTGAATTGATAAGCCAAAATTACTTGAAATGAAAAAGCAGATTTTGTACTGACATTATTCAAGATTAACATAAACCTCTAGTTCTTCTCTGAATTCAGCTAACTTCAACTTAAAGAGAAATCCTATGATTAGGCAAGAAGGTTGCCTCTAAGACTAAAATTACATAGTTTTATAAGTTCCTTCAACTGCCAAGGTAACAATTGCATTTCAAGTTATCACCCTAGAAAACTGTCTTACACTTCACAATCAAATTTCCTTAATCCTTTATATGAGCGATAACAAGTTTTCATATCTTAACCAGCCACATTTAAACAAGTTATCCTTAATCCTTTTTATGAACGATAACAAGTTTTCATATCTTAACCAGCCACATTAAAACTTCATTTCTCTCTCCTTCTCCCCTCCCCCTCCTCATCTCAGTCACAGACCCCCCCCCCCCCCTCAATCACCCAAAAGAGGCTGCTTTTGAGATGGAAGGCAAAAAATTCCTCCACGGGACATTGGAAGTCACCATCTTCCATGCAACACCTTTTGCACCATCCTTCCCCTTCAGTGTAAGTATCAACGAAATATGCATTAAATTTTTTTTTTAAGAGGCTTCAGAATAATCAAGAGCAAGATATAAAGTGATAAGGAACAGAGAGGGCACAGCTTACCCATAATTTGCACAAAAGCACACTTGCACTGATCATCCTGGTCAACAAGGGTGCCTAACTACGAATTGTTATACTTGTAGGTTGTAGCTTTATTGGATACTAATGTAGCTTAGTAACAAAACAAAAACCTAAATATAATTTCCTTAATTCAGATAAAACTTTATGCTAGTTAATACAATGATACAAGTTATTTATATGTAGGTTGTCCATACTTTAGATATATGTAGGTGAGTCCATAGTTTTATGTCCTTCAGTTTACCTGCTCATGGAGAGCCAAAGGTCTCATCATTCAGGGTAGAGGTACCTGGTACTATTGACAATTCCTAATAGCCCAAAACCGATTATGTTAATTTGTATATAAGCCCCTAATTACAGTTTGTATGACACATGCATTAGAAGCAAACTAGCAGAAGTCCTAAAAAAATAACAAACAAGTATCCATAACAGAGCACTCCAAAAGCACAAGACATGATTCAGCAGTGGAAACACACCAATCATCAAACTAGGGCACAAAAATAGCCAATGATACCCCATACCCGTATATGAAGCTGGATATGGAACAAAGGCTTACATTGATTATACCTGTGCAGTGTTTATTAGGAAGCGGAAGGCCAGCATATGCGACAATCAAGATAGGCCAGCACAAAATGGCAAAGACATCAAGTGAACGAGACCGAATTTGGAACCAGACCTTCCAGATACTCTGTGCTCATCCCATTGACTCAATCATCACAATCACAGTTAAAACGAAGTGCTCTGTCCTGGGGAAGATACAATTTGAGGCACATCAGATTGTCACTCAAGCAAGCTTGATAAATGGCTTTTTTCCATTGCTCTCTGAAGAAGGGAAACCCAAGCCAAAGTTTGGGCTCCAATTCATCTTATGGTTTAAGCCAGCAGATTTGGAGCCTAATTGGGGAAAGTTAATCGATAGTGGTGACTTCAAGGGCCTAAGAAATGCAACATTTCCACAACGATCCAACTGCAATGTAACACTTTATCAGGATGTCCACCATCATCCTTGTTTCCAACCACCGTTACCTGGCCATGGTGTTCCACGAAAGCTATGGGAGGATGTGTATAGGGCCCTTGAAGGGGCAAAACATTTAATATACATTGCAGGATGGTCATTCAAGCCCAAGATGGTGCTGGTAATTGGATTTAAACCAATTTCATAGCTAGTGAATTTTCAGGCATAGATAACATAGGGTTTCATAACTTTGGTTGAATTTTTGTTTCTGTGATCCATATCCTACCCCCCTTTTTCTTGTGTTTCTGACAAGCTTTATGGCAGGTCCGAGATCCTCAAACAGAAATTCCACGTGCAAGAGGAGTGGCACTCGGGGAATTGCTCAGACAAAAAGCAGAAGAAGGTGTAGCAGTGAGAATTATGCTCTGGAATGACGAAACATCCATACCACTTATCAAAAACAAAGGCTTGATGAAGACTCATGATGAAGATGCCTTAGCCTACTTCAAGAACACAAAAGTAGTATGCAGATTATGCCCAAGATTACACAATAAATTTCCCACATTTTTCAGCCATCACCAGAAGACTATAACTGTAGACACCAGAGTAGAAAACTCCCCGAGAATTAGGGAAATCATGAGCTTCGTAGGTGGTGTAGATCTTTGTGATGGCCGCTATGATACCGAACAACACTCAATATTTCGGACACTGAATACAGAGCTCCATGCCCAAGATTTCTACCAAACAAATATTGCGGGTGCTAGCCTTCACAAAGGTGGACCAAGAGAGCCATGGCATGATGCACACGCTTGCATAACAGGTGAGGCAGCATGGGATGTGCTTAACAACTTTGAGCAGAGATGGATCAAGCAATGTGACCCTGCACTACTAATCCCAGCAAATGCCATAGAAACACTCAATAAGTCTTCTCCTCCAAGTGACTCTGACAGAAACTGGAAAGTGCAGGTTTTTCGCTCCATTGACCATTTCTCTGCAAGTCCACTGCCAAACAAAGTTAGCACTGAGCAAAGCATCCATGAGGCCTATGTAGAGGCAATCAGGAAAGCAGACAAATTCATATACATCGAGAACCAGTATTTTATTGGAGGATGCAGTTTATGGGAAAAAGATCAGAACAGTGGTTGCAGAAATTTGATCCCAATTGAGATAGCTCTCAAGGTGGCAAGTAAAATCAGGGCCCGAGAGAGATTCTCAGTCTATGTGGTAATGCCAATGTGGCCAGAAGGGATACCAGAGAGTGAAAGTGTACAGGATATATTATACTGGACAAGGGAGACCATGACAACAATGTACAGATTAATAGGACAAGCAATAAAAGAAACAGGGGGGCAAGCACACCCCAAAGACTACTTGAACTTTTTCTGCCTTGCTAACAGGGAGAAAAAAGGAGAAGGGGAGTTTGTTCCTCCCTTTTCTCCTCATCATTCAACATCGTACTGGAAGGCCCAAACAAATAGAAGGTTCATGGTATATGTCCACTCCAAGATAATGATAGGTATGCACAGTCCTTTTTCCAACTCAAATTTCCTGCTGTACTTAATCTTTTACAATTTTCTTGCTACACAAATAGAAGCTCATAACTTCTGATAGTCTTTTATCATATATTTGAAAACAGAAAATTAAAAAAGTGATATATCATGTAAAACCAAATTTTATGTCTTCTCTTTTTTAAAGCTCATATCATAAAAGGTCTATGCAAAAGGTTAAATGATATAATTCAAACTCGTATCATATACTATATACTAAGTATTTCATTTTAGTCATGTTGCAAAAACATACTGACATCTAACTGCTTGGTTGCCATAACCTCTCTGCCAGTGGATGACATATACATGTTGATAGGATCTGCAAACATAAACCAGAGATCGATGGATGGAGCAAGAGACACAGAGATTGCGATAGGATGCTACCAAACCAGGATAAACAGTGAGGACCAAAATCAAAATGGAGAAATTTATGCATATCGGATGTCTCTGTGGTACGAGCACATGGGAAGATTGGAAAAAGTATTCGAGGAGCCACATTGCTTGGAATGTGTAGAAAGTATATGTTCTATTGGGGAGGAGATGTGGAAGATCTACAGTGGAGAAGAGGTTGTGGACATGGAAGGTGTACATTTGGTATCTTATCCTGTGAATGTGGGAAAAGATGGTTGCCTCGAAGAACTAGCAAGCTGCAGTAACTTTCCTGATACACAAACTCCAGTACAGGGAAGGAGATCGAAAATGCTGCCACCTATTTTCACCACTTGAAGATCTCATGAATTTCACATCCAACAAACTATACTAGGAAGTGTTCAAAAAAATGTCGAAAGAGCACTATTATGATTTGTACATATGGATTAAGAAGATATTGAACAGTAAAGGATCTTGGTCACATATAAAAAGAGGTTATTTTAAAAAATCATCAAAAGATATAGAATCATGAGCAGGGCGAGAGACCCTTCCTCTCAAGATGAATCTCTCACTTCCATTAACCTACGCACAATAAATCCCACCATAACATTCACATAAGACATGCCAGCTTGCACTACGAATGCAGACTAAAAGTAAAATGAGAATCACCATTCTTCAACTGCTAACATGGCTAATCACCAAATACAATAGAAATTGTACTTGTCAATAACTGAGAAAAAGAAGTCGAGGTTATTAAGTTTATAATTTGTAATACAAAAAATGAGCAATAAGTATTGCAAATGGCCTTCAAGAAGAGAAATAATTTGTGATTTTTTATAAAAACACTAACTCCAAACCCCCAAGTAATAAACATTAAAACAAAAAATTCACAAACATAGGAGGTATCTACGAGTGAACGAAAAATAACAAGCTAACAAGATATCTTTGGCTAAGTTGAGCTTTGACAAATACGAGTGAACGAGAGTCACCAAAAAAAAAGCCCAAAACAACTACATTCTGGAATTGAAATACCTAAAACAACACTCATAATGATATCTGAGTCATTTTTTTTACAGAAAAGAATCACAGGCTATAATTTACAGGTGCACCCCTCCATTCCCCCTCCTCAATCTTTTACAAAAAAATATTACAGATATGGATGGTATAGAATATAAATACCTATTTGGCTGTCTTTAGTATGCTCCTCAAAACAAGAAGGTAAAGTAACTTGATCTGTAAGAGAAATTAAGAACAAATCATCAATAACAACAAAAGGTAAAAATTCAAGGAAAGCAACACTATATGATAAATATCACAGCAAGCATCATCCATCCATAGAGAAGACTTGTACAACCTATATGTTGCTCAGAATCTGGCACTCATATTGGACGTGGGTATGTGTCCAAGTGTCAGATTTGGCTATAATGACTTGCTATTGAAGATGAGGCATGCAACAAAAACTCGCTACGAAGTAAATATCAGTCAGTGCTGCATAAACTAATTCTAGACATGTCGATATCAGTTAGTACTTAGTTGAGCACCTATTTTGAGCTCAAATAGACATTTTACAGGAGAAAAAAAAAAAGCTGACCTAATCACCACTATCACTGACTAGGTTAGCAATGCCATACAAGGTTGTGTCCAAGTCTGCAGATGTATGTCCTACCAAAAGATGGTGGATACATGACGGAAATATAATTCTCATTAGCTTCTAGCTATATTCTCATAAATATAAATAGAACCAAAGGAGTTATGTACAATATTTAAAGTGCTAAAAAGGTAGTGTATGAGAAGCAGGAAGTTTCCTAATGAGAAATCCAGGTCCTCTAGGTCTCCATCTAAAGTAAAATTGGACATGTCATAAGCATATATTGTAAATGATTAAACAATATTTCAAGAATCTTTCTCGGTATTCTTCAAAAAAAAAAAGAATCTTTCTAGGTAGAAGGCTCCTAAGTCATAAATATGGAATAAATAAAATCCTTCGCAATGGAATCGAACTATAGTTGTACAAATAGGGGTAGGAGTAAAACAAAAGTTCCTTTCTAAGTCTTTCCACCAAACAACATAAAACATTTCCTCAAAACTAACATGCTCTGTACTGGTGGAGATGCTTGCAACAATCAATCAGTGATACACATAATGTCTATTACTTAGACACCATTATGCTACATGGCTCAAGAATTGCATCTGTTTCGACTCTCCTCAAGCAGATGCAAATTAATACCTATCCATGAAGTAATGTTTATCTGGCTCCACTAATAATTAAGGATGTAAATAAGCTCGCAAGAATACCTTCAATTCAACCTAAAAGAAGCTCCATTAGACTAACAATCGATCACCCTCTTCACACGGCTGCTTCCTCAAACAGTTTGCTTCAAAATTACACAATCACTAGGAAACTAAGTTTAACAATCAAAAAAAAAAAATAGTGTCAGCTAAGACAGAAGCATTTAGACAACTAAGCTTAGATAGAACCAGATACAACAGACCTGTGTTAGAGAGCTTGTCTCATACTCAAAGCCTAAGAGCGTAGAAAATATCAAAAGTTTCATTTCAATCCCATAGTTTTTGGGCTGAGAATTGGAGGAAGACTTTAAAATGCTAGACTCCAAATAAGCATTAACAGACTAAACAGCTAAATATAGCCTAAGATACTCATAAACTAAAGAATGAGCAAAATGGTTATAGCCTTGTATAATCCTACACAATACTCAGTTGACTTATAAATTATGGGGCTAGACAAGAATACCTGCCCATGAAGCTCATATCAGTTGCTGCTCCTATCCAACCATCCTGGCTTCAGTTTCTCTGGATCCGTAATCGAAGATCTACGCAAGGACACCAGTGTATCTAACCACTCAACCATTTTGCAGAACTATAGATCAGAGAGAGAGAGAGAGAGAGTACAGTAAGAAAACTATGACATGAGTTAACAACGAATACGTCATCAGATCATCATGTCAGAATGGGAAACTTTTAGCATGCACTGAGCTCATAAACCTTGAAATCAATTGTTTCAACAATCCTCAAAATCCAATCATACAAGCCTTATTCCTTTCAAATTCTTAGGAGCTCCGTGCATGCAACATCTTAGACAGAACAAACTGCATAACTCAGTTTTCCATATCAACTTCTGCA